AAATAAAATACATACAAAGCAGAACACAGCTAAATGAATCAAAGGTATGTCTATGTAATATTAGAATTTTCTGAGGCAATGAATTTTGGTTTTTCTTTTTTTTTTTTCCCCTGTAAGAGGTTTTTATTTAATAGAATTTTTGGACAAAAAAAATCGCAATATATCGCCTTGCTCATAGTATCGCAATATATCGGGATATATCGTATCGTGACCCCTCTGTCGTGATATGTATCATATCGCCAAATTCTTGCCAATACACAGCCCTAGAAGCAGGAGTTTTAAACATTTTGGTCAAACCTTGGTAATAACGTGCAATCATCTGCATCATCAGGAGTATGTGTTGTGACAGGCTGTCAGCTACTACCATAGCTCAACATCTGTTTTTGTGTTTGAAAGATCACTTTGTTGTGGCAGCCATCTTGAATCCGATCAACTCCAAATGATCATTTGTAGGTGAAAACCCAATGACTTCTTTACAAAAAGAAAAAGAAAAAAAAGAGTATAACATCTACTCCTGATATTTTTCTAATGCTGCAAACAAAGACAAAACACCTTCAGCAGTGAGCGATAAAAAGGGATTTGCATGGGCTGTGTAAGACTTTTGAAACCCGAGATGTTTTCAAACAGCAGACATCCACTTTGTCTCAACCCCACTCAAACTGGCTGTTAGCTCAAGACCAATTAGGTCAGACCTATTATCCTTTTCTCAAAATGAGGTGTTCAAAGTGCTGTCTACCACAGGTTTTACAAGCTTTTCACAACAACCTTCGAAAGATCTGAACTACATCTTAACAAAAGCGAACCGCGCCAGTCGACAAACAAAAGCAAAAAACCTATCAGCTAAAGTTATCTTTCTGAGAAATGGTTTCAAGCCTACATCACTCAGCAGTGGAGTCACTTTCTTAGAAAAATGCTGAAACCATAGATGGCCACAATGCGCACAAACAAAATGCTGTAGGGCGAGGCTACACCCACGCCCACTCTCAGCGAAGCCTGTGTTTTCACCTGTGCCATCCGCTGTGGGACACGCAAATGAAAAAGGGGGAAGTTACCTTTCGGATTCATGGTAGTGAAAATGAGACCGAGTTCCTTGAATGCACAAAAGGTGTGTCTGGTAGAAACGCGCATTTAAAACAGGAAGGTGGAGCCACAAAGGGAAGTCTATAAGAACACGCTCCACCTGAAAACACTTCCCATCTTTCAGGTGAAACATGCGCAGCATCTTCAAATCCAAATTCAAAAATACTTTATTGATCCCAGAGGGAAATTAGGTAATATTATTATTATAAATTAGGTATCTTATTGGACCTGCCGGTCTACTGAAAGCCACCAACCCTGGAAAACCCTGAGCAGAGACGCACTGTGGCCGAGACATCACTTTGTTTGGTAAGAGAACACTGCTCTTGACAGAAATTATTGAACTCTTGCCAAATTAAAGGGTTTGATGATACCGGTGCTGTGGAGCTGTTTGCACCAGACATTTCTATTAGTAAACCTGTTATCAGGATGTCAAATGAAAATTACCTTTAAAAAATTGTGCAAAAATTAGATTTTTTGTGCTGACAGTGTGATGTGTTGTGCTTTTAGAAATGCATGAAATTTTAAGTGTCAGTTATTGATAATTTTCTGTAAAACAACTGCAGTAAAAAGTCAATAACATATGTTTTTTTATTACCCGTAGGAGACAAGTCAAGTAAGAAAAGTTGGTGTCAAAGAGTTCTAGGAAGACTCAACAGTATTTGCAGATTTAAAGTCTAACGCCAGTGTTGCAACATTTAATTTCTCCAAACAAGGCGATGTCTCTTTGGTTTAGGCTGTGAGGAAACCAAGCTCTAAATCAGATGCTTTCAGGGTCTGAAAGGTTTTACTTTGAAAGTACAGAAAAACACCAGAGAGTCAACAAAGACAACTGGTTTAAATGTCGGAAAATAGCACGAGATGCGACTTTGAGCACTTAACAGGATCATTTATCAAACGGTTGATCCAATTTTTATTTAAACTGATAAAAAGAGAGTAAAATCTGCATAAATAATTATCAAGATTTCGGCATAATAGTAATATAAAACTGCAAGACTATAAAGAAAATATTTAAACGCATGCATTCAGTCAATTGTTAACCTCAAATGCCAATAAACTGAAGGTTTGGCTGATAACTAAACATTTACCCTCAACAATCTACAGAAACTGCAACATGTTCTAGAACATAAAAGCAGTAAGATTACAGCTCCGTTGTCATTTTTCAGTAGGATTGTGACAAACAGAAAATACTGAGAACACACACATTATTAGTTTGGTATAAAAAAATTATAAATTTGATGTGATCCTGTTTAAACAGTACTGAGTTACCATATGCTGCGAAAAACAAGTGCAGAATCTACGACGCTTAGAAAGTTTTGTTTCTACCTCACCCACACTCATTGCGACATACGCAACTTTAAAGGGATCCCTGATTAGTTGTAGCATTAGACTATTTCATAAACATTTATTTTACCTGTAAAAATACTGTAGACTGTTTAGTTTTGTAAATTTTTAAAAATGTATTTTAATACGGACGGAGCCATTTTATTTATAGGCAAAGCATTCTGGGTAAATGATGACGTGGATAGGTCCTCGGTGTGAGCGAGCTATATCCACCCTGAAGGTTAATCTTGGACAATATCTGACGATCGACTCTTTTAAATGAAACCAGAGAGCGTTGACAGAGAGGAGAAGGTAGAAATGACTCAGTCTACAATTAAAATATGGATGGAGGACAACAGAGCTGCTTCATGGAAGAAGAACCTCAGCTTAGCCTGTTAGCATTTTTGCCAGCGCCAACGCTATATTGCCTTATATGTATTAGCTTGGCGATAGCACGACAAACAAGCTAAACTGAGGTCCTCCATCCATATTTTTAGTTGCAGGCTGAGTCATTTTTGTGTTCCCCTCTCRGTCATGTGGATGGAGGACCTCAGTGACAAGAGGAGAATGTGTAGCGCTGAGCTAATACATTTATATGGTGATAGCATTGGGGCTAATGCTAAGGCTAACAGGCTAAGCTGAGGTTCTTCTTCCATGAAGCAGCTCTGTTGTCCTCCATCTATATTTTCAGTTACAGGCTTAGTCATTTCTACCTTCTCCTCTCTGTCAACGCTCTCTGGTTTCATTTAAAAGAGCCAATTGTCAGATATTGTCCAAGATTAACKTTCAGGGTGGATATAGCTCGCTAGCAGCCTCGCACCACGGACCTATCCACGTCATCATTTACCCAGAATGCTTTGCATGTAAATAAAACAGCCCCGTCCGTGTAATATATTTATAAACTTTTACTTCAAAAATTATAAAACTCAACAGCCTACAGAATTTTTAGTCTTTATTTTACAGTTAAAATATACGTTTTTCAAATAAAGTCTAATTTTACAACTAATCCTGGATCCCTTTAGTCAGCGTTCTCCTGTTTTGCAGCTTTGATCGGATATTTTGTGTTTGACAAAATGCAAATTGATTTTATTTTCTTATTTAAGTAAAATTGTTTGAGTAAAGTTTAACTGTATGTATTTATTTATCTTTTAAAAATATCTAATAAGACTTTCAGTAACGATATTTTTTCATTGCTTTTGCAGGATTGTCTGGAGCATTTCTTTACCACTGAAATCAGATCGGTGCCGTCGACGTAAATGCTGCCAGAATTGTTCCCGTTTTTGGAAAACAGCCAAACTGTAAAGATGATGGCTGTCCTGGAGCAATGGAATACGGCTTCTGGACATCACACGAACAACAACGAGAAGTATTTCTGGATTTTACTTTTCAAGTTTGGACTGGACGCAGCCGTTTTCTACGCCTGCTGCCCAAAACGGTTCACCTTCTTTTTGAGCGTGTGCAGCACGTCCATCGTACTGGCCGACTTCCTGCTCACAGTCTTTATGGGAATTGTGTGGTTTCTAGGAGCCGAGGGATCTTTTTCATCAGCCTGCTTCCTCTTGGGCAAAGCCTCGGCAACTTATGGAGTGCTGCCACTTCCCGTCATGTTTCTGGGTTTCTTAGACTACTGTTTGCACGACACCTGCCTGGGCAACACCAGTGACCTCTGCAAGCTGCTCAAGAATGTGATCCTGACTGTGCTTGTGTGGGTGGCAGCCCTCGGTTATGCTTTTGGAGTGTTTCACTCAGAACCAGTGCAGCTGGATTACACGACGGGGATCAAGGTGCTGGTCTGTAAGGTGGAGGAGTCTATGTCGATCACGGCCGTCATTCTGGGTCTTTTTTCGGTGACTTTTGTCACGATGCTGCCATTTTGCTCGAGAATCCCCCAGTGGGTGAAAGAGGCTGACAAGATCTACGCAGCTCAGGAGGAACAGGAGAAAATCACAAGCGACCTGTTCTTGTCTTCAACCTGGACTCTCAAACATGAAACAAAGAGCGAAGAGGAGAAACACCCGAAGAGGAGCGTTGGGTCGCCGCCGCCTCTGTGGTTCAGCCTCATGCTGGGCTTTCTGTTGTTCTGGATGCCGTACCTCGTCGTGACCGTGTCCTGTCTGCTCTGTGGCTTCGCCGTGCCCGCCTACATCTCTGTTAATCTCCTGTGGCTGGAGTGCACCAACAGCTTCCTGGTCGGAATGATCTTCTGGGTGAAGAGCAAGATTAGGGGCCCGTACATCCACCTACCAGAAAACGTGTGCTCGTGGCAGATTTACTGGCATTTGAGCAAAGGCACGACAGAATTGGACGTCCCTATAGCCGTGCTTAATCCATCGCAAACAAACAAAAACGCTTTGCTCTATGTGTGAGAAGATGCCAAACGAACCGACTTTATTGCCTCCACCTGGAGTTCAGATATGAAGGTGAAGACTTAATGAAAACGAGCCAACATCTGTAGACAGCTCAGAGTTGTACGATTGTAAATGCTTCACTTGACTCACAGCTCATTTTACAAAGCATCTATAACTCTGGAGGCGCAAAATGCACTACTTGAATTGTAAAAGTTGTACAGCAAAGTGTTGCACAGTTCAACTTGTAGAAGTGTCTAAAAGAAAGAGGTTTGACTTGTAAATAATTTTGCATGCTTCAAGACTATTTAAGCTTCGGTGAAATGCTGCAATAGTGAAGGAATTGCATTCTCTTTTCACTTTGTTACATGTTTGTAAAATAAAGATATCAATATGAAATCTTAAAAGCATGTTTTTTTTTCCCACTGAAATAGAAAAAATACAAAAATACACCTGGTTTCCTGTCGTTTCAGAGTACAGTTAACTGATAAATGAGCATTTATAAATGCATTTATTTATAATGTATAAATGCATGACAGCGTGACGGCTCGGTGGTTAGCACTGACACCTCACAGCAAGAAGGTCCTGGGTTCGATCTCCGGTTTGGACTAGGGTTGGGCATAATCGTATCATGTGCAATTAATCGTCAGAAAAACACTAGTCGATTATTTTTTGGCACTAGACAATTAATACGATTAATTCCACCAGGCAGATTGACTGGAGATTTCCCCAGTCGGTCCACTCGGTGCTCCTCTCCGCTTCAAATATGACGAACATTAAAAAAAAAAAATAAATCTGTAATTTATTCATCTATCAACACAATTTAAAATTTGATGTATAGCCCGAAGTCTGTAATTTTGACAATTTGGAACAGATTTTTATGAAGAGCAAATATTTCCCACTAAATTGGTCATGGGACCAGGACATAAGGGTGTCCAGAGACTCCAGGGGATTAATCGTCAAATTAATCGTTATCGGCTAAAAACCACAATTAATCGTGATTAATTTTTTTTGCCAATATCGCCCAACCCTAGTTTGGATGTGGAGTGTTTCTGTGTGGAGTTTGCATGTTCTCCACGTGCGTGCGTTTTCTCTGGGCACTCCGGTTTCCCCCACAGCACAAAAATATGTACAATAGGTTGCCTTCAGGCCCAGGACGCTCTTGCGAAAGAGATCTGTGATCTCAATGGGATTTGCCTAACAGTAAAATAAAAAAAAAATAAAAATTTCATCATCAAAATAAAAAGTCAAACAGTCCCGATAAAGCAGGTAAGCTAGAATGTTACTAGTTCAGAGTCATGAAAATGATTAAACTTGGTGAGTGAAACCTTAACAGAAGATCAAAATAATTTTTCAAAAAAGGTGGAAAACCAGACTTAATGTTCATTTAACTGAACTTGTTTCGTGTCATACATGTATAACTCACCCTTTCATTTATTCGTGAATGAAATAAAAATGGTACCACACACATCCACCAGGACAGGTGAGCTCTGTGCTGTTATTTCAGTATCAGCTCTTCTGTCAGTGCTCAAAAGTTCCTTTTCACAACAAGGAGGAAGCAAAAAGTCCCTGGAAATAGTTTGGTTTTAAGTTACACTATGATCACACAGCTGTATTTTGTGTCCTGATGTCAGCTTTTAAATACTGGAGGAAGTAATAAGTCACCAGAAACACTTTGATTTAAATAAAACAAATTCCTTTTTATAAATTACAGTACAAAGGTAAACAGCGCTGACTTTATCAAGTTCCTACAGACTCCAAAGAGCTTTACGCTTCAATCATTCACCCATTCATACTCACAGCCACAGCTGCCCTGGGGCACACTGACAGAGGCAGGGCTGCCGTGCGATACAATCATACTGCATACCAGCTGTCATAATGTGTACATTTATGCATTAAAAATACATACATTTGTAACTATGCATTCCAGTACAGTACTACTACTTCTATAATACTTAGTACTAGTTTTAAAATAGTACTAGAATCAATAGCATTACTAGTACTTTACACAATTGCTATGTTATAGTATGGTAAAATTACTAGTACAAGATACTACACTGTATATCATTACTAATATTAGTACTACTAGTAGTAGTCAAGTAGTAATTGCTCCAGCTTAACTTATACCTCTATATCAGGGCTATTCAACTGGAAGCCCGCGGGCCGAATTGGTTCATTCATTTCATAAGCCCAAACCCTCGGTATTCTACTTTAATTCCTATACGTTCTTTTAGTTAGATATAGACATGTGTGGTATCTACAGAAATGTCAGAATCCTGGCTACAAGCTGGTAAAAACCATTTCTATGATAGTTAAAACTACAAGCAGATGAAGAGAAAACTATGAAAGTGAAAATAAAATTGGTTTAAAAATTTGGCAAATCAGAGATGTCAAAATAATATTCGTATTAAACAGGAGGCATAATTGCATAATTTGTTTTTGATATTGTTTTATCACTACACTTATTAGGGTTCTGTATGTTGTATTCATGATTAAATGCAACTAAATAAACTATTTCAAAAGGTAACAGATATTTGTAATACTGGGTTTATGACTTTAATTGCTGGCTGTTTGGCCCCTGTGCTGTTGGCCGGCATTAACCGTGGCCGCCGGAGCATAAAATTACAAAAGGTTACACTTTGAGACTGTAAACTATGTTTGCAACGGTGCCGGCTCATTTGCATATAAATTAACTTCTTTAACTCTTATAATGTTGGAAGGCACAATCTATACTTGTGATTAGTGGGCCTTTGTAAGCTGCATAATGGAGATAAGACTGCAGGACTTCTATTAAAACATTGTCAGTAGAGGGCAGTGTTGGACCAAATCCATACTGCTGAACTTTTCCCAGTGCATCTTGAAGCTCAAATAAAACTTAAACATAAATGACACAAAGCAAAAAGTCATCTCTTGAATGCTCTTAACAATTAGAAGTTTGAATAGCTGCAATTAAATCAAGTACACAGGAGTAGTTGGGATCACCAACAGCTGAAAACAGCAACTGGCCGTTTGTGACGTCTTTTTTAAGCTGTATGTTAGGAGGTAAAAGACATGTTAAACAAATGCCTGAGTTTGTCAGCCCCACCTTCCTTTACACCAGTGATGTCCAATCTTGGTCCTTATAATACTGCATCTTTAAGAGGTTTCTCTGCTCTGACACACCTGATTTGCATGAATGGGTGATTAACAGGCTTCAGATGTAAATGAAGAGGTGGTTCAGTCACTGAATCAAGTGTGCTGAAGCAGGGAAACAAGTAAAACATGCAGGATAGCTGCCCATGAGGACAAGGATTGTACACCACTGCTCTACGCTTTTCTTTTATTCTTCTGGTGGAAAGACTCAACAGCGCCCTCTGGTGCCAAATTAAATGCTGGAAACACGTGAGACTGGCAAAAAGGAAAAAAAATTGTAAAGGTCTTCTGGACGGGTTCTTCTCTAATGAAACGTTTCGTCTCTCCTCCGAGAGACTTCTTCAGTCTGAGAGTTTCAGGCAAAATTCAGGCTTTTAAGCCCTGCCTCCATGTGACTGACACTCACAACACATGGCTATCGTTGACACCTAATTAACACCTGTTGTTAACGGGGGTGGAGTGATACTGGCAATAGCCGCACTGTAGGAGGGGGACAACTGAAAACGGAGGCCTCCACCTCTGTTTAATGATGGACGGTCTTTCTTCACAAAAATGGCTTCTTTTACTCCTCTCTCAAACCAACGTTCCTCCCTATCAAGAATGAGAACATCCTCATCTCTGAAAGAGAGACCGCTGGCCTGTCAATGAGTGAAAACTGCAGAGTTCTGGCCATTAGAATTAGCTCTTCTGTGTTGGGACATTCTTTTGAACAGTGGCTGCTTTGTTTCCCCGATGTATAACTGGTCGCAGTCCTCCTGGCACTTAACAGCAAATACAACATTGCTCTGTTTGTGCCGGGGCACCGGATCTTTGGGGTGAACCAGCCTTTGCCGTAATGTGTTTTGGGGTTTGAAAGCCACTGGCATGTTTAGAAAATAAACGTCTCACTTCTAAACATGATGTCCCAGTGGCTTTCAAACCCCAAAACACATTACGGCAAAGGCTGGTCACTCTTTCAGCGGTCACTCTTTCAGAGATGAGGATGTTCTCAATCTTGATAGAGAGAAATGTTGGTTTGAGAGAGGAGTAAAAGAAGCCATTTTTGTGAAGAAAGACCGTCCATCATTAAACAGAGGTGGAGGCCTCCGTTTTCAGTTGTCCCCCTCCTACAGTGCGGCTATTGCCAGTATCACTCCACCCCCTGTTAACAATAGGTGTTAATTAGGTGTCAAAGATAGCCATGTGATGTATCAGTCACATGGAGGCAGTGCTTAAAAGCCTGAATTTTGCCTGAAACTCTCAGACTGAAGAAGTCTCTTGGAGGAGAGACGAAACGTTTCATTAGAGAAGAACCCGTCCAGAAGACCTACACAATTTTTTTTTCTTTTTGATTTTTTACCTGGATTACTGAGATGCATCAGGACACATGAGACTGGCCTTGATCGGACGTATGAAATACTTGAAAGTAAAAATACCTTTACAGAAAATGACTACGGTAAAAATATATTTCACTGATAAGAAAACTACTTAAGTAAAAGTAAAAACAAAAGGAAAGCTTTACATTTACTCAACTAGGTTTAGTGGAACCAATTCAACATTTCATTTTGTTGAATGCATAAACTACTGCTTTCATGAGGTTCCTGCCATATTTAAATTTGTGGTGTGTATGTATACGTTATATTTTTCAGTAAAATTAAAAAATATTTAGAGTAAAATATATCTAAACCAAACCAAAGATTATCCCAAGTGATTTTTTTGTTTGTTTTTATTAGCAAAACTTTTTTTTTTTGTGGACAAAGCTGTTTTTTTTTCCGCGCCTTTCATAAAATCACTAGTAGCTCTCAGCAGTAAAAACTACGAGAAACGCATATAGCACTTGCATAATCTCATGAATGATGCATTCACTAAAAAGAAGAGATTAGGTGGAAACTAGTAAGCTCGGTTCATTACTGAACATCAACCCAAACGACGTTGTTCTGTTTCACGTTTTAACTTAAAGTTTTAGCGAAAAATCGTCCTTTTCCTTCCACTTACCTGTCCTCCGATGGTAATATCGAAGAACACAATCGGGTTGTTGGGGTTTGTTGCCTGAACAGACATTGTGGTGTTTTTCCACGTCTCTTTGATTGTAAAATTAAATAAAATGTACAATTTAGTACAAGGAACTCATTTGAACGTATGGAGCATGCGCAGATGAAACGTACGGCGGCTCAGGAGAGACATGTTACGAGTTGCAATAAGGGACAAAATTCTTCCCCTGGACAAAACGCGCAATCGCGAGAGCCCAGCGTTTAACATAATTTACAAAAAGTCTCTTTAAAATTGGTATATAATTATCTAGTTGAGTTAGGCATTATACAACTTAAAATAATCGTCCTACAAATGTTGTTATAGACTAAAAGCTTGGCAAATAGACATTATGAACTGAAGAATCTCATAACTCTGCAACAGTTTGTCAGATATTAATACACAACCAAAGTTGTCATTTGAGACATTTAAAAAAATAAGCATAATTTTAAAACCTAGACAGCCCTTAGCAATTTTGGTCTTTTTATGTGAGTTTGTGCTGTTTTAAACGTTTAGGCTCAAAGTTTGCACTTCTCATACATTTCAAACTTGTGAAATCAACCACATAAAATGTCTTTGTTTTAATGAAGTTAAATTTTGCCTGACAGAATTAACAGAAGGGTAGTAATTTTTGGCTCAATACAACGGCATGTGTTCAACAGACGACAAAACACAAATAAAACGTAGCGTTAAATCATGCCAATACCAGGACTAAATTCTTGTAAAAATGGAAAAGTAATTTGTAGAACCACAAAGAGTAATTGTTAATTTATCTAAAACAGACCTACAGAAAATTCATTTTCGTACCTCCACCCAGAAAATTATAATAAGTATTTCAAAGCGTATCAAGAATGTCACGAAACTCATGTGGTAAAGATTTTATTTCCACAAACAAAATTCCACAGTTTAACTAAACACAAATGTAGGTTCACAGAAAATGTCAAACTGCAAAGTGAAAATGGATTTTTCAAATTATTGCTGAAAAACATTTAGCAATAGAGGTTATGACAGACTCAGAAGGGAGCTTGATACGAACAAAAGCACTGAAGAAAGGGTTTCAGGTGAAGTAATAAGGTTTCTTGACATTCACACCATACTCAGAAAGAGCAAGAGTCAAGTCCTCCATCGTCAGAGTGTACTTCTTATCCTGCCAATAAAGAGAAAACTGATAAAACACAAGACATTGCCGACAGGCACAGATTTGGGGTGGAAGATGGAATCAGCTCACCTTTGTTTTACTTCTGGAGCTTCCTGATGCTGTTCCCTTCATTTTGCAGTACTGAAGCGCATCGTTTGCAATATCAGAGATAAACTTCTGAGAAGCCAGGGAGATCAGACGAATTCTATTAAAAGTGAAGAAAGAAATTTAAAAAAAACATTGTTTTCTTACCTCATCTTTGGAACTTTGTGAAAAACAAACAGTGATAGAAGAGTCTGATGTGAACATTTTATTTTATTAAAACAAAAGTAAAAGACGAAAAAAAAAAACTCTCACTTATCCATATTTCGCCAAAACAATATTTTAGTAAAAATGTGATACAGATCTTCTGAAATCAAGAAATAACCATTACGTTTAACTTTATGTCAAAAATAAATTACACTCAAAGTAAGACTGTAGGACAGTGTAGACATTTTGTAACTATAAGTGTAAATGTGCACAAATGGCACAATTACAGTTGACATACAAAAAGTACCTATAAAAAATATCTCAAGCTGAACTGTTTTCTATACTGTTTTTTTAAACCAGGGTGCAACCAAACCTCTGCTTCCTATTTAGACCAGTGCATGTATTACTATACATTAACCATGTGCATTTACAGACTTTTCACAATCATCTGTAATTATTTCAGTAGTGCTAAAATGTTTACATGTACTAGGACTGATTTGAGATCTAAATTACTGAGGATGTAACTAAAGTTCTGCAAGTAGCCCCCACATCTTATACTTACATCCGTGGATCAGAAGCCTCAAAGCCTGCCCTGTTGAGGTAATAGCCTGTAACTGCATCAGGAATCTGGAAAAAAGGGAATTTATAAACATGATAAAATAATTACCAAAATAGAAAAAAAGTTATGGTTTTTTTTTTCTGATCACTGTATTACTGTATTACGTTTCACTGTAGTACCATTGGACTCATCTTATTTAATGTCAGCATTAACTTATGCTAATGGTTGCATTAATATTTACTAAGATGTTGCAATAACAGTGGAGTCAAAACAACTTTTAATGTATTCTCATGACACTAAAAATCTTGACTGAATGACAATAATCACCCAAAAGAAGACTGTACTGATTTTTAAGGTGATGTGTCTCCATCACCAAGCTGACCGACTTACTGTGGGAGTGTAATCCTCCAGCTGCATGAGGAAATCTGCCAGAGGTGTGGTGGAGATGGCAGGCTTTATGTCTCCATTAGTGATCCCACCAGGAAGGTAAACACCATTGGAAACTGAAGAGTCTATCGATGGTGTTGACACAGCAGCTGAGGCTCCAGCTGTAAATTCATTCAGTTAGGTTTCATTAGCAGGGACAGGTACAGATGAATAAACAAGACAATTACAGTGTGTCCAAATCAGCTGTTTTATAGCAGACAATAATTTGCAACACTTGTTCCAAGAAGGGTTTTTTTTTTTCAAGTTTGTTGCTGGAATCTCACAAGATTTAGCAACAAATGTATTCGTGCAAATCTGTAATGTTTATTAAATAAGCATTAAAATACGATCTTTATTAAATTCCAAACTCAAATCGTGTAGAACGCAAATGATGTGTTGAACACAGTACTAACTGTGCGTATCTGACGAGCACAACACACACAAGCAACAGATAATATTAGCCAAAGCTACAAAACATTACCATTGTTCGTAGCCGAAGGAATGCTGCAGACGCTGGTTGCTACATTATCATTCGCGATGCAATTACTTGAAGTTGAAGACGTCGTCGAAGGAACTCCTGTAGTTACAGACTGATTTACGTTGTCTATATTCATGTTAATCAATGCTAGCTCAGCTGTAGCTAACGCGCTAACGTCGGAAGGCTAACTCAGGAAAAACGTCCAGAAACACAAAACAATGCGACGTTCTGTTGTACAGCTGTAATACCCGCCCTTTATTGAACTGTATTTGTAGGTTTAAAAAAATACTTATCACTTCGAAGAAGTTAAAATCTCATAATCTAGTTTGTGTAAAATTTAGCTGCAGCTGTCGTACATCAAAAAGACGAGGTCATGCTATTTGGTCACGTGATCTCCGGTCGGAGCCGAAGTAATCCGAAATCCAGAGGAAGTTACGTTTGTGGTTGGTTGGTCATATGCGCATCCTAACTTGCTATGTCGTTTAAATGAGATGTGCCCTTCCAAAACAAAATAAACAAGTGTAATAGTATTCAAACAAAATAACAAAATGTGTAACTAGAAAAACATTAATGAACCTAATATGTCTCATGTATCCGACAATGTAAAACACAAGACACAAAAATGGCATGTTTGTGTCAGCAATTAATATATGTTTATGAAATCACGTATAAGTGCCAGACAGCCATGTGTTCATTTATACGTGGACATGAGTAGACCAAGACTGGATTAGAGATGCCCCACCCCATCCCCGAAAAAAAAGGAACGAAAATCGTGTGTTAATTGTAAAATACAGTAATTTACGAGGTACCTTGAATGCGGCAGATGATCTTGTGGACACGGTAGTAGGTAGCGTCGTATTTATTGAGGTGTTTCCTGGTAGGTTTTGTCCGAGGAAGTCTGGATCTCACTCACGTCTTTCTACTTTTGATAAACGTGGATCAACACGGATCATAAACAGTGGGTTCTGATAGTCGTATGGGACAAAACAGGTAGAAATACCAGTTTCGTTAATGCAGTTTACAATATTGTTAACCACTTTTGTAATTACCTGCTAGTTATTTTTTATCTGTATATGTCAGAAATAATAATTGATAGTGATGATTAGGTGATAATTAAAGTGAAACCAATCTGTATATGTCAGAATGGTTACACTTTAATTATCACACAAGACACCTAATCCAACAACTTTACCTTATAAATCTCAGAACAAGACTGTTGTCGTTCCCAAGATTTCGGGTCTGCTCCTTTTTTTGTCACAGGCGTTCAACAACAACCAAAGCGCAAAAAAATAGTGTGATCCCAAATGAGGAGGAACACAATTTTTCCTCTGCACATTAGCACATTTTAATGTTTTACTTAATAAAATTGGCTTGTTTGTAGTCATAGAAGCAATACAGTTATGTTTGTGAGCCTGGGTATGGGAATCGATGTTGAAACGGTGCCGGAAGTCGGCGACATGCCGGCGTATAAATGGAGCGGACCCTGTGTGTTTATAAACTGTGTCCAAGTTCGCAGGAAGGCACCATGACTTCACCTGTCTGTGTGATCGTGGTGGGAGCTGGTTCCAGAGGGGATAACTACTCCCAGTTTGCATCTATTCACCCTAAACGCATGAAGGTGAGGACAACTCACTGAACAATGGCATTTTGTCAAGCATATGGTTTTGGATTAAAAGTGAACCATTTAATCATTTAAATATTTTAATTTATGAATATGTTGTTTAAAATTTCTGCACTACAACCCCTTTTTTGTCTAAGTTTGCATTACATACATGCCAGGTTGCTTTGATGTGACAGGGTGATGGCTTCAATATTATTCTGTCTGTAACAAATCTGTAAAACGGGTGTTGAACTTTGCTCTGATATTCTAATTTACTGAAACATATCTGCAGGTTGTTGCCGTAGCTGACCCAAGAAAGTTTGCGCGCACCAAACTGCAACAGCAGCACAAAATCGATGATAAAAACGTGTTTGAAGGTGAGCATTAAATCAAACTGTATTTAAAGGACTCTGGTGTCTGCCATAATCTTTACTAATAAATCCTTTTTCTTCTATTTTTGTTACTAAACAGATTGGCAGAGTGTTGCTGAAAGGGAAAAGTTCGCAGATGCTGTCTTAATTTGCACTCCAGATCGTGTTCATAAGGTAAACCTATTTATTATAATCATATGTGGTTTTATATACTGTTGTTTCTGAGTGTATATATTTATTTTTGTTTATTCAAAGTCATTTTGACCAAAGGTTTTAGTAAGCAAGTTTCTGTTCCTCAGGATCCTGCTGTGGCCTTCGCAAAGAAGGGTTACCACATTCTTCTGGAGAAACCGATGGCTGTGAGTGTTTGGAAATTAATACATATAATAAAGCTGCTTCTGATCCTACACAAAATGATTTTTGATTTCATATTTAATTAAAAAATTTAAAATCTCTTTTTTAAAATAAAAAGTACAGTTGATATTTAAAAAAATACTAATATTTAATTCAACTCTCTCTGCGTTAAAACGTGACTTCAGACAACTGCAGAGGACTGCACAGCGATAGTGGAGGCTTGTACCCAAAACAGTGTCATGCTGTCTGTGGGTCACGTTCTGCGGTATGACCCACTTATTCACAAGATAAAGGTAAATATTAGAATATTACATTATTTATTACATGCTTTGGATATTAAAGTGGGAAAAGTCAGCAATTAATATTTTGTAATAGTAATAATAAAGAATAAAAATAGACAAATTTTTGTTTGGTATTTGGCTAAGACAAACATTAGTTAATTATTTTTTTCATCACATAAATGACATAGAGGTTTCTAGACTGTTCAGTTTATATATATATATATATATATATATATATATAGTAGGATTTCTCAAATTATTATTATTATTTTGTTTATTATGAGTCAGAATTGACTCTTTTTTCCCCTCAGGAGCTCATAGATGCTGGAGTGATTGGTGATGTGATCCATATACAGCACCTAGAGCCAGTAAGATCACAAATAAAGATGAAACTAATACATTTTATGCTAACATGAATATTTTTTCCTTGTCCCGGCACATTAATTTAATGTTTTTGACTCTTAGATTCTGTAACATTTTTGTAAATAACTATAACAAAAACCAACACGCAAACAGCTAAACCCTCATGTAGAACCTGTTGTTTATAATATGAAAATAACTATAACTTTAAAATTAGCCATTTGGAAAACCTAGTAATTTTGTATTAACAACAGAGTTTTTCATATTCATTGGAAATAATTTGTGTAATCTCACTAAGGATTTGAAAAGGCATCCAATGTTTGTTCCAGGTTGGCTTTTATCATTTTGCTCATTCATTTGTTCGAGGAAATTGGAGGAACGAAGCAGAAAGCTCTTTTGCCCTACTTGCAAAATCTTGCCATGACATTGACCTAATACATCACTGGGCCGGAGCGCGCAGGTAAAGATTAATCAACAAATACCCATCAACCAGTCTCAGTGTTTATCCATAAGGAATATGCAGTTAATTTGTCCCATTAAAAAAATCTGCTCAAATTATTTTGGACGCCTCAATCCTGTTAATATTTAAAAATATTTGGTGTTGAAGCCGGGACATAGGCCTTGTTTCCTGAAAAATAAATGTGTAACTCTTGTGCTTGACAGATGTGTAAAAGTGTCATCATTTGGATCCGTCAGCCACTTCCTGAAAGATGAGAAGGTTCGTAGTCTCTTCTGTCAATAACAAAGCTGAGGCTTCTTTATCAGTAAGTAGCAAAACTGAGCTAAGTAGCTTGTTGTTAGCCAACAGGTGCTGCAGATCGCTGCCTTGATTGTTCAGTAGAAGGACAGTGTCCATACTCAGCACGCAAAATCTACCTGGACAGAGTCAAACAAGTAAACATTAAGATCATTATTTTACAAGTTTTTCCACTTTATTAGTGAAAATAAATCTTTGTTTCCAGTACATGCTCTGTTATGCTGTGTTTGTGTTTTAGGGTCAAACTGGATGGCCGGTATCAGTCATATGCCCGAACTCATTACCCGACATCGAATCAGTAACCGAGGCTCTGAAGACTGGACCGTACGGCCGCTGCGTCTACGAGTGTGACAACGATGTCTGCAGTAACCAGGTTTGAAAACGCCTAACTCTGGTCTTAACAAAAAAACACATAAACTTTTGTATGTAGTTTTGCGCCATCTTGAACGATGAACAAAGTTAGAAAAACTGTCAGTTAATAGACGTAATGTAAATAAATGATGTCATCACAAGGATTAGATTATCAGGCTGCTTCCAGATTTACTATGTAAAAGTTTGTAATGTCTCTCTCAAGCCAATAATACACAACTCACAGACACTATTAGAAAATAAGTAAACCTAACCGCTATAAGAATTCTGTCACCTCTACTGTTGTTTTCTTGTTTATCGGTTTGTTTGTGCAGGTTGTCAACATGGAGTTTGAAGGAGGGTTGACGGCAGCCTTCTCCATGGTGGCTTTCACTGAGGAGATATGCAACCGAAAAACAACCATTTATGGCAGCAAGGTATGACTTCCCGGTCAGTTTCCCACATAAAATCGTCGAGTTTGAATTGTTTCTTGTGTTTTTTTCAAATAAACTTTGCCCTCGCAGGGGGAGCTGTCCTATAGTGGCCGCGAGATCCGCGTGTTTGACTTTCTGACCCAGAACACCACGAAGCACACAGTGAGCAGCGACGCTGTGAAACACTACGGCATGGGTGGGCACGGGGGGGCGGACTACCACCTCATAAACGCCTTCATTTCTGCTGTGGCAGTGAGTGCTTTTGAGCAGCTTATTCATGTGAAGAACTTTCGTTGTGAAGCGTTTATCTACATGTGTCTGTTTTTCTTTTCCTTTGTGTGTGTAGAACAACGATCCGTCCCTGATTCGATCGGGACCTGAGGAGACCCTGGTGAGCCATTTGCTCGTGTTTGAAGCTGAGCGATCGCGAGTGGAGAACAGGGTGGTGTACTGCGGGGGCTGTAACTGAACCTAGAATATGACAAAACGTTAGGATGTTTGTTATAACTACTGAAGAACAAAACTGGTTAATTATACCGGCATGAAAGGACCAAAATCTTGAATGTAGTTTTAATACTTTGACATATTGGGTGAAGTGAATGCATTCTATTGACAGCATGTTAGCTGCTCAGCATAAATACACATTGGTATCATTGTTTACAAAACAAAAAAACAACATTTATTGAATTTTAATGTGTGATATTTACTGAGTACACCAAAGATTTCCACTTTTTTGTTACTCAATGATGTGTTTAGTAGCTCCACAGAGCAGCACCATCAGGAAACAGTTTTTTTTTCTCCAAAGACTCTAGAGCACACGTGTCAAACTCAAGGCCTGCAGGCCAAATTGAGTGACTCCTGTCTGGCCTGCCAGAGGGGTGTAACCCCACCC